GTTTTATTCATGGCACCAAATACTAACTCCAATATAAGAAACCACAGCCCATTGCCCATTACAAGTTTACCAAGAATCAAAGGCTATATCTTTTCCATCCCTTGTTCTTATATGTTCCCCACTAGTTGTTATTTGTGCTACTTGGTTAAGTCATTGTAAACAAAGTCACCAACTGGTAGCTCTTTTAGTATGATGCACAAACATAAGAAGAACCTTCCAAATAAGATAGCAAATTGGGAACACATGTTATCTTGAACCTTATAAGAGGGATCAACATATACAAAAAAGGGACGATGTTGATTAGTGAAGGTTCTTCAAAAGATAGTGACTGGTCATCACTATTTTTCAAAGCTACTTATTGCGATAGGCTAGTTCTCTATCCCGGTGAGTAGTAGTGGTGGTTTAGTACCAACCACACACTTGTAGAGGACCAGACAATTGGGGGACTTCATCGACCAGTCCCTTTCCCTCCTGGTTCATCCTCTATCTATTCTCCCTTGGGCCAGTAGGGGGACGCGATATGGCAACTCAAGAAGAGGGCCATGGTCGGGCTGGGTCGGCCCCACACATACACACGTGGGCCCAGTTCGACCCTCTCCTTTAATTAGGAGAGGTAGTACGTGGGGAGAGGGGAGGAGCCAACCCTTCATCATTTGGTTCTTTCCACCACTTCCATATTTGTCATGTCGTCGAACAGGGACATGGGAGAAAACTGAATGCTTCCTAAAGAAACCCTAATAATGGTCCAAATTGAGCGTAAATATCTATAATTAGCAAAAGAACCATGTTTAAAAATGAATATGTTAATAATTATTCAACTGTTGAAGGAATTGTCAGGAATTAAGCAATAAAGCCCATGAGTTAAAAGTAAACCCAACACATATGAGACCATAAACGAGATTAGAAGCTTTAAATGGACATAATCGTTATTAAAATAAGGTAAATTCAACTGAAAGTCAGCAAAAACAATGTAATAAAGTTTGTAAACAGCTCTAAAATAATGGAAATCGATAAAATAAATATACCCCAGATAAATTAAACCACTACATGGTGTTAAAAATTCATTAAACCAATGAAACTACTGTAACTTGTTGTACATACTTAAGTTCGTAGACGCTTCACCAGAAGATTATATGGATAAATTATTTAATCTTGAAACGGAAACAAGGACCATTCATTTATAATATGCAGAACGACGAATATTGCAGATTTATAGAACGAAATAACTCTTATAAAAATGCAGATAATGAAATATACACGTGACTTTACCCGTTTAGGAAAGTGGCTCAAGAAAATGTGTGGTTTTAATCGTTTCTCTATCACACGACGGCCACGAAAACAACAAAAAAAATCAGTGTAAGAGTATAACACACTGTCCTTGCAAAGTGAAGAGGTACTATAATGACACTGAAGAAGAATAAGTTAATCCTGAAAAAGTTGTATCAACTTTTGATGATTGTGATGCTGTTCTTACCACTAGAATCTTTCATTGTTCTTGAACCTCATGGATAATAGACTTTCCCCAATGTGTGATTCATCTTACCACTTGACAGTCACAGTAACAGGAACTGCAGGTCTAGAATATTACCAAACCCCATAGACAACTCATAAGTATACTGTGTACTGGATTTTGCTAAATTTTTGAATGGGAGAACTTGATGTGTTGTAGTGGAAATTGAATCACTAATTGACACAATGGTCGAATTCAAATACAAGGTCATTCAAGAAGCTATACTTACTTTTAGGGTCACGTTTTGCTTCCAATGCATCGTTCCAGAGACGTATCAAAATTAAAGATACGCTATGATGAATATTAATAACCATTACATCTGGATTTGTGTTTCCTATATTTTTTGTATTGGGATGAATAATTGCTTGTGATGGTACAATCTGGTAGTCAAGCGATGATTTCCAATGTGTTTACGAAGTTTTATGCAATAAGGTAATCTACAAATTCTTCTTTTAGATACTTCATTGTGAAATCTCGATATTCCATCCATAAGGAAGGTAGATATATTCAGTTACTGGAAGCTATTGAACTATTGGGTAACTGGCTTCAAGAGACAAGTTAGGAGCTTTTACACATATCTAGGGAATCCCCTTCCTCCCTGGTGAATAATTAGTCGTTTTGTAACATTGGAGAGATGCTCCAGATTAGATATTGTTGGATGAGCGTTAAATATTAATGGTGAATAAAGAAGAGAAGAATAATGAAGAGAAGAATAATGAAGAGAAGAATAATGAAGAGAGGAATAATAAGGATAAATTCATGTTTATTTATTGCAAATATATAAAGCATTATGCAAATAATTTAGCGTCATCATTGATTTAGCATCATCATTAATTTGACAATTATTGATTACCATTTTTGGATTTATTAGCAATTTTTACATATTTCTCACATGCTTCTTTAGTTTTATCATCACTTTGTGCAACACCATCTTCAATATACTTTACTACTCTTGGAATAACCTCATCAAGTTTTCTGACTAACTCTAAATCACTTTTTCTTTGAGCCCAGATTCGTTTAGCTTTATTTCTTTTTGATCTTTGAACTTTATATTTTTTAAGATCTTTTTGTACTGACTTTAATTTCAATTGAGTGAGATTATGAATCTTTTGATGGATTCGGGAATATGCAACTGGGTGCTTATATTTATATTGATCTTTGAAATTATTAGAATGTTCCCCTTTCAACTTTAAGTTTATTTCATAGAAACTAAAATTCGTACTTTTCCTGAACATGTGAGACACTTTTAGGCAACAGTAGGGAACCTCATGGGAGTAACAGCACCTAAAAAAGATGCTGCTACAAAGTGTAGTTTCAGTTTCCTGAACTGCTTCCTCCCTCACTGTTAAGCCAAGTGACTCGCAAACCAAAAGCACGAATTTTATAACGTCATCCACATTTTCGCTAGTGATTGAAATACATTGGGAAATTAATTCTAAGCCAAAAAAAGACAAGATCAATTGTTTGATGTAGTTTGATGTTGTTGGTTCTACTTGGTTCAGTTCTTGTTCTTTAATTGGGGTGGATTCATTATCATTATTATCATCATCATCAATGGATTCATTGGCGCCATTTTGCAAATCATTTAAATCATTGGTTTTATTGACTATACGATGATAATCTTTATTGGTTTCATCATCGCCAAAAGTAATCTTGCTGCAATTTTGCAACTCAACCAAATCACTGGTATTTTCATTGGTGGCATTATATCCAGATAGGGATGATTGAATATTAGCTGTGATATCCATTGATTGACTGTCGTCGTTATCAGAACTGAGCCCGTTAGATGACATTGTTTGATGATTTCAATCAATTTAAGGGTTGAATCACAGAAAATACCCGCCAACAAATTACTGCGAATAATCTTTTTATCTTTTGTTCGCAATTGAGATTATGAGTTACAACATTTTGGTAGTGTTGATTTGACACGACCGGTAGTGTACGAGAATCAATATTGAAGCACGTGATATATCATTCCCTTACCATTTGAGTATAATCTACGATGAATAGAAAACGAGCACATCAGTGCAAATCAGAGTGTCTTATATGTTGCATAGAAAATTAACCGACTACGTACATACTTCCTAATACAGTAACCCACATATATCCAAATTCATTCTAAAAAAGTGTACAAATAACATCAATGACTATATACATGCTTTGTCAGCATTTGGTAATCCACACGACGTTTAAAGTTCACCAGTGAATACTGAGAAAGAAAAATGGATCATTGAAAAGATTTTCCATAGATCAGACGATTCTTCTTTTCTTTGGGCAATCACTCTACCAAGAGAGAAGACACATCCTTATCATTGAATATCAAAAGTGTATAGAATAGAGTCGTATATGTATATTATTCTATTCAGGTTGGAATCATCTTATGACGTTAACTGTACTCTATACCTATCATAAGGATATAGACTACGACCTCATCTCAAGTATCATCTGGATAGATTATACTAGCATTCGATATGCAGCATCTATCATCATAATATCCTGTATGGTGGATTCGTCAGTTAATATGTGTTTCCACTTTTAAACTACTTCATGAAGTTTCCAAGTTTTAGCAAGTTACTAAGCATCATCAAGTTCCCAAATATTCACAAATTTTGAAGTTCCCTCAATGTTGAATAATATTGTTGTTCCAAATTACTTTATACATTATCAAGTCAACTATTTTGTGAAATAAAACAATGCATGTTACCAATGTAATCTAATTACAATCATTGGAAACTCAACAAGATACAAATACGCATTCTTAATCAATGAAACTTGAGTAAGGAAATGAATAACGGCAAGATAATTGACAAATGGAAACCATCCTTTATCTTTCCTATCTGTAATAACTAACTACTCAATTCGGTCAAGTTGTCTCCCTACGAATGTATCCATTGAAAGGTTGACCCCTTTTTGAATCATCACAATAATACTTTTTGAAGAAGATTCTATATTCAGTTGAGAGTCATTATATAACGATTGGTTTTTTCAAGAACACCAATGACTGTGATACTTGCAATGCAGCCCTGTGACATTTTTTATACTCAAATCCCTGCTATTATCCTAGGGAAAAGGGAGCAAAATATAACCATGGCTATGATTAAGACAGAATAATTGACTTCCACCTATATCAGTTATTCCTTCCAATCTCGTATCATTGTTCCAAGTTGTTGGTGTATATATCCGGAAACTGAACTAAATGATTACGGTTTTATAGTGAACTTTCAAGATTATTAATAGTTAAATGTAAATGAAAAATAAGTTACATAACTTCTATAACTAATTGGACGTCTCCATCGTAGTGGGTATTCATTCATTTGATATCACTCATTTTGTACTACCGGAAGCAAATTCAATATAAGTCATAACTAAAACGGTGGTATAACCTGGGAAAAGGGAGGAGAAGGACTGATAAGAGAGATAAATTTATGTTGATTGATAGCAACTATACAAAACTTCTGCAAACTATTTAGTTACATCATTTACTAGGAAATTATTGATCAAAAATATTGTATTGATTTGCAATTCTGATGTAGTTTTCGAATTCTTTTTTAGCATTTTCATCAACAGCTATAACTCCGTTTTCGATATCTCGTGATATTCCTGGAAGAACCTCTGAAGCTTTTCTCAAAAATTCTCTTTTCTTCTTTCTTTGTTTACAAATCTTTGAAGCCTTGTTCTTTTTTATTCTCACAATTTGGAACTTTTCAGCTTCCATTTCTATTTTATTGAACAGTAAACTTTCTAATTCCTTCAATTTATTTTTAATTGTATTTCTCCGAACTGTATAAATTGCATATTTTTTGGTAAAATCCGTTGTGTGATTCTTTGAAAAGGTTAGTAATATGATATATTTAACGTAATTTGAATTCATTACTTTTGAAAGTTTGAGGCAACAAAATCTATCCTGATGGGAATGGCCAATATCACAACAACGGAAGAAACAATTTTTAGATAACATATCTTTATATTTCGTGATAGTACTTTCTTTGAATTGGAGTCCCAATATTATAGATACTTGTAATACAAATTGAAATAATACATTGAAATCGTTGGTTTTTGTAGTAATGCAAGAATCAGTGATCTTGAATTCAAGCTTTTTTGAAAACTTTGATGCAATAGATTTAACTGTTTCCACGATTTTATTTTGTTGTTTTGTTTTTTGGATTACATTATCATCATCATCATCATCATCATCATCAATGGATTCATTGGCGCCATTTTGCAAATCATTCAAATCATTGGTATTATTCACTGCGCGATAATCATCTTTATTGGTTTCATCATCGCCAAAAGTAATCTTGCTGCAATTTTGCAACTCAACCAAATCACTGGTATTTTCAATGGTGTCATCATTTCCAGATTGGGATGATTGAATATTAGTTGTATTTTCGATTGATTGACTGTCGTCTTTATCAGAACTGAGCCAATTAAAAAACATTGTTTGATGATTTCAATCAATTCAAGGGTTGAATCACAGAAAATACCCGCCAACAAATTACTGCGAATAATCTTTTTATCTTTGGAAGTTCTCATTGTAGTGAAGATTAGTACCAAATCCGAAGTCGTGTATTGTTGCTCAAAATGGTAAACGGATTAATGGCTGCCTCTTCATCCCTCTTCATCCCTCTACACCTGATCCTCTCCACTGGGACTTCTGTATCCTTTACGTAGATTATGTCCTATACAGTATGTTGATAATTGAGTCGTTGATTTACTGATAAAATAGCGCAGATAAGCAAAAACCACGTGATTCATGTTTCGTGCTTCTGCTCACGTGGCAATGTCACAGAACCGACTTCAGTTCTCAACTTCAATCTTTTATTTGGGAAATGACTCCAATATTTCAATGTCAATTTATATATCAATACTGATCTAATTTGGATATAATCCACTGATTTATTTTATGTAAGTTTTATTCCAAAACAGATCTCTAGTGTAGATAATTGAGCATGGGTTAGTAGGAGTCTTATAATTAAACAAGTATCCAAAGAGTTTTGCAACCAAAATTAGAACCAAAATTCCCATTCATTCTTGAGGTATATTCTACGCTGGTGGTAATTTATTAGAGATTGTAGAACTACATTATGGTTTATAGTTGAAATGATATATAAAATAACAATAAAAATAATACATATATTAATCAAATTGAAATGCTAGAAATTATGGAAACAAAGGTTAGTAGTTAGGTAAAAACCGTTAGGGCACAAACTGCACATTATTAAATCAAAGATGTCCTTATTCCAAAAAAACACAACAGTTGCTTAATAAAATGCTCAAACATAAATATTATTAATCTCTGGGT